AGCGCACGTAGCATTGACTGTTTTCACAAACCTGTGTCCCACCAACTGTCCGCTCCCTGGCGCCCGTCACCTGGCTGTGATCATAGGCGAATGGGGGGACGGGGTGCACCTCGTCCAAGAAAGGCTCGAGCGGCAAATGTGTGCATACGCACATGGTGGGGTTGGGTATCATGGGCAGCGATTGTGGAAGCAGCTCCCCCCTCAACTTAGACGGCGGGAGCGACTAAGATTCAGGCGATGAGAGCATCGGTTCAGGGGCGACGGAGTACAAGCGTAATGCCCTGGGGTTTGTAGCAAAGGTAGAACAGCTGCTGAGGATGTTCGGCAGCATCAAATACCCGGTCCACGTCCTTGCAGCCCTGTCGGAAGATGGAGAGCGTGGCAGTTTGGAGGCGGACGCCGAGATTGCGAGTCTCGAGGACGTATGCCCCAAGTGCGACGGGGAGTATGTCCACTTGAAGAATGTGTGGGTCACAGCGTTGGTCCCGGTGAGTTGGGTACTTGATTCATTGCTGGCATCGCGCGTCGCATAGTAAACATCGCCCCTTTTGGGTGCGGGTGCTTGGGCATGGGCATGTGGTTGGCCCCGTGTCCGTGTACTTGCTAGATTTTTTCTGTTGGGGCATTGTGCCATCCACTACCACATCGCAAAGGCATCTAGGGTACATGGTTGGTCACGCCAGACCGTAAAGAAAGAAAGACAAGAAACGCATGTTGTCGATGTGACTGCTGGTGCACGAGATACCTCCTCGAACATCGTATGTGGTAGGCACATGGGGTCAAGGTCATTGAAAATTCTTCAACTAGCGCAGACGGAGTGCACAATAGATGTATACATGGGTCCGCTCGACCTGTTTAAGCTCCTCAGGCAACGTCGGAAGGACTCGCGTCACATGGCAACCGTACAAAAATTGCGTCTGCACACAAAGTTCTTTAAGATACTGCGAACCTCCAAGATATCGTGAGAGCGCACGTTCATTCCATTCAGTTGGTCATTCTGACTTTGTACCCGCGACGTCATCATGTCAGGGGCCCGATCTCGTCGAGGCCGTGCTTAAGATCAAGGGCTGTGTTGACTGCGGGGTGGAAGCGGTGACCGGTGATGACTGGCAAGAGCACGGCTATTTCGTTTTCGGGGAGACTCTACTCGTCCATCTGTCCCACATGGACGCGACGAGGCAGGCGGTGCTTAGTGGTACGGCAATCAGCCACGCATTCGACAACCTCCTCCGTCCTTTGGCCGACAACCTGATATGGATGACCCGGAACAAGCTGGCCAAGAGGTGATTGTGAAAATCGTCATCATCCACTGTTTGTTGTTCTTTGCCTTCCACTTGTAGCAGCANAGTCATCATGGCAGGGGCCCGATCTCGTCGAGGCCGTGCTTAAGATCAAGGGCTGTGTTGACTGCGGGGTGGAAGCGGTGACCGGTGATGACTGGCAAGAGCACGGCTATTTCGTTTTCGGGGAGACTCTACTCGTCCATCTGTCCCACATGGACGGAACGAGGCGGGCGGTGCTTAGTGGTACGGCAATCAGCCACGCATTCGACCTCCTCCGTCCTTTGCCCGACAACCTGATATGGATGACCCGGAACAAGCTGGCCAAGTGGTGATTGTGAAAATCGTCATCATCCACTGTTTGTTGTTCTTTGCCTTCCACTTGTAGCAGCACGGAACGATCCAATGTGTCACGGGGGGGTGTTAACCTGAAACTGCAAGGGAAACACCCGTCTTCGGGAGCAGCCCTCCGTGATCAAGCTAGGAAATAAATNGCCTTCCACTTGTAGCAGCACGGAACGATCCAATGTGTCACGGGGGGGTGTTAACCTCGAACTGCAAGGGAAACACCCGTCTTGGGGAGCAGCCCTTCGTGATCAAGCCAGGAAATAAATATTTATCCCTTCGAACCCCAGCCCCGAAACACTTCTTGGCTATCGTAAATCAAACGCACGATCTTCGAACCGAATGCAGCAATTAGTGCAGGTGTGGCAATGCCAAGACGGTAGGTCTTAGCCATCGTATTTATCCCCCACATTTTGATCTCAAAGTCGAATGTAGGACAACCTTATTCCGGCTTTCCTGGGGGATCAAAGTACGATATTATTTGAAGGAGTCATTGATCACACTTTTCCCTCAGGGCTAAGTTTTTAGTATTCACGGAGGTGCGGGGGTTTTTCAAACCGCTTCGTTTGTTTTCGCGCCCCCGGTCCCACTGCATCTATTCTCATTTTTTTTCCCGCACCCCCCCTGCGAAGTCAAACCAATGCGCGGAAGGAAAGGACAACGAAGTCTTTGGGCTGGTCTTAGGATAGGGACAAGAAGGAATGGGGGGAATATAGCTGAAGCATGTTGGGTATATTGTGGTAGTATCTCGGCTGGTCTGCATCGTGCAACAAGTAGTTTGACCAGCTGGGTGGGGTGCAATTTCGTTGCAGAGAGGGTTATTGCGCATCGGCAGCACATTGTTTTGGCCGACAGTACTTGCCATTTATATTCACCCGGTACTTGCGTGAAGGCGGCATGTCCCTCCGTGCCAAAACATTATGTTGAGGAAGCTGATGTGTACCGGCAACATGCGCTCCGTGGTAGAGCTGGGCTCCGGCGTGTCTCAAGCGATTTTTCTTAAGAATGTCACCCTCGAGGTAGCACGGTCAACCGTCGTGCGATCGTTTTTGAAAGGTGTTCATGTCCCATGTTATCGCAGTACCGAATTAAATACCGGAGTGAAAAATGCAAATAGATCACTTTGTTTTGGTTTTTCGCATCACGGTGCGGACTGGTTCCCTGGGCGTTGGTAATGCGCGGTGCAGCATGGACGTGTTGATACGTAGGGGCGTGACCCCCCAACGCTTGGAATGAAGCTCGCTCACCTTCCGGCATGTTCCTGTTGCTGTCCCCGGCCTACCGCTCTCTCCTGCCNAGCACGGTCAACCGTCGTGCGATCGTTTTTGAAAGGTGTTCATGTCCCATGTTATCGCAGTACCGAATTAAATACCGGAGTGAAAAATGCAAATAGATCACTTTGTTTTGGTTTTTCGCATCACGGTGCGGACTGGTTCCCTGGGCGTTGGTAATGCGCGGTGCAGCATGGACGTGTTGATACGTAGGGGCGTGACCCCCCAACGCTTGGAATGAAGCTCACTCCCCTTCCGGCATGTTCCTGTTGCTGTCCCCGGCCTACCGCTCTCTCCTGCCAGAGCGCTGACCAAAAGCTACTTGAAAAAGCTGTTGCTTGACGCGTATCTGGCCTTCGAAGCCCTCACCGACCACCCCTATGGCTTCTTCAGCTTCATCGACGGGTATTTTCCGCTTCTTTCGAGTTTTGACGGCTGCACCAAGGTGGCGACCAACATCTGCATCGAGAAGTACCTGCAACAGCGCATGAAGCAAGTGATCGACATGGATATTGATGCGATCTGGCTCGTCATCAGCATGCTGTCGCCGATGGTGTTCAGAATGCGGCTGCAGTTCTCGCAAAACACGCCGGTGACTTTTTGCCCCCAAAGCCGCAAGTCCAACATCATCGTGGTACCTGCTCGTGGACATGCCCGCGTAGCGGAGATGCACAAGCTGCCGATGGCCAAAAACTGATGGAGCGTGTCCGGGAGAACAAGGATGGCCTTGGACTGTCGGAGATGTTGGAGGGCATGTCGCTGGACGGGCTGAAGGACCTCTACCGTTTGTGCTTTGGGCCGCAACCGCCGGGAATTAGCAGGAATGTTTCACGAGAAGCTACAGCGATTTCTTTTGTCCATATTGTCAATATTCTTGAGGTGGTAGCGCTTATTACAGAATGCATCGCTTAATTGCCGTAGTATTTAGTTTTTTTCCCCGTTTGGTACTCTGCGATGATCATGTTGCGTTTTGTTCGAGAAGATACAGTGCTTCCGTGAGGCGCACTACGAGAAATCGTTTCTTGGTTTTTACGCAGGGGTTGTACTTGTCATAGTTCCACCGCACATTTGAAGTTGCTCCATTGAGGGCTGAGAGGTAGCTCGAGACTATTGCAGCAGTTGATTCAACAGGTATCATTATTCATATCGAAAACATCGACAGCTATCCGCACGTTTGTTTTCCGTGTGGGGGAGTAGTCGAGATCGTCGGAAATATGGACGCCCGCCATGTGCGTCCAATTTATGCATTCGGGCCGGGTGTTTCGCTCGTCACGGTAACGTCTGCTGCAAACCTCCAAACTTATCCATCTCACATCTCAAGAAAAGATTCGGGACGCCGAAAGTGCATGCGCACCAATGTGGGAACCTTTCATTTATCGCGCAGTGCGAGACATGCTTCCTTTTCCCACACAAAGTAGGGCGTGTTTGCATACAGCAAAGAGCAATTGCACTGCCATGAGCACCGATCGCTCTCATACAAGATTTTCTGTCGGTCTCTTGTACACTGCCCCCCCTCCACTCCCCCCACCCTCAGGTACCCCAACAGGGTGCTGTTGATTGAGCTGTTCAAGACGGTGGAGAAGCTCTGGCGGGAGAGCAACCATGGCAAGGAGGATTGCTCAAAGTTCTTCATGGAAAGGGGGGCATGGTTGGTCTCGTCTGGGGTGGAGGGGGGATACAGCCCGGACGGAGTCCAGACGTGCCATATGTTCATGCTGCGGGCGGAGAGCCCCACAGACTTGGCCGTGCTCCTGTTGCACCACGTGGTGAGTGCCCCGTTGTAGAGAAACACATTTTTCGTATTCATCACAAGTGCTCGTACTTGGCAGTACAGTGTACCCCCGACTCTTGAAAATAATGAAAGTCGAATACATTGAACAGATGATGAGCAGGCTTTGAATACCGAAGGTGTCCACATTTTGCATTGTATATATCAAGTGTGTCATGCCCAAGCAGTGCGGTCTTTGTTGCAAAACGACAAATGCCGATTAGGACATCTAGCGGGTCGAAGTAACGTCTAGGCGAAGGGGACAACATGGTTACTTGCGCGGTGTCTGCATGCTGCGATGTTCACGCATTCCCTACCTTCCAACAATCGTAGGGCACCACCAAGCCAACCCGAAAATACTCACGGCTGACTGTTGGTTTGTCCACCAGTAATTGGGCGGGACAAGCCCAAACCGAAATCCGGTTGTATAAAGTAAAGGTCTGTTTCACGCCTTGTGTTTCTTGTTGTCCTTGCGCATAAGATAAACGAAGTACTTGTCGTTAGCCATGTTTTTCGAATAACGTACAACCGAGTAACATTGAAACGGTTTAACTCCAACTAAACTAAACCCTGCTTTCGGGGGTGAGGTTGGGTACTACACTAACGCCAGTGTGTCCCGGGGTACTTTGTTGTTTTTTGTCTTCACCTTTAAAATCATCCCGGTCTCCGCGCAGTACCGTCTAATATCCGGATTAGTACAACTACGCGAACACCTTCCGTGGGCACAAGCCAACTATACCCCCAAAGGGTACAGTACACCTTTCTAAAACGAAACGAAAGTATAAAATGGGCTAGGAAAAAAATCTCCAATTGCGGAAACAGCGTAGCACAAAAATAACATGTGTCCAACAATATATATGTCATTTCGAAACATCCTACCACCTGTGCCTACAACAGGTGCGTGCATCAATATCCCAACCACGCACTCCCTTGTTTTTTCTCACAGAGCGGTTGCACCTTTCAGCTCGCACCTTGTTTTTCATCCAATCTTTCGTGTCAAGCTATGTCATGTGCCAAAAGCTCGCGTTTTCCACATAAGCGACCGCTGCCCTCGAAATGCCCCTATGACAAGGTTGGTTTTCGTTTGATTGAGAACGAAGTTTCTGATTGAGAGCGAGATTGGGCGATGCGCTGTCGCTGGACTACCGCTGAGAGGTGGAGCTTGCTGCGTGACTTGAATTGAAGGCCTAGCCCGTAGCTACAAGCTGATACCCTGGTCATCCTGTGGGCGTCTCTAGTTGTGGAGCTACAGCGGGGAGCAGAATCTACAGCAGAGCTCACCGCCCGCGATCAAATCGCCCTGGAACAGTGAGGCAGGAATAGCCAATCTGGGAAAATCTAGCAACTTGTCTAGCTCCTCGCTGCAGCATCCGATGACGATGACACGCATATGCTCGTGACGCTGCTGATGAGACCTTCAATTTGCGCCGCTTCTTGGAAGAGCCCGCCCCCTACTTCCCAAGAAATGGCAAGAGGCGTCTGGACCCGAAATTTCAATTTTTTTGGCTCCCGCTCTCAATCGTATACTCCGCTCTCAATCAGGCG